TAGTTAAGGTGGAAAAGTGCCCCAAAAATGGTCCTGAAACAGCTTAGACTGACGGTGGTTTGTTTCTTTAACACCTCAGATGGCCCGTGTGTCATTAACAGCCACTCTCTTCCCTCTGTAACCACCTGGAGGCCACTGCAGGCCAGCAAACTGCTCCTGATGCTGAAAATAGCAGTTTGCCCTCTCTCTGTGAAAAGGACAAATACACTGCACCTCCAGCACCCTGCACACACACACTTTATTTCACACTTCATCATGAATGATCAATGAAACTCATCTTGTAAATCATTACAGCAGGGAGGTAAGAGTGGGAGACTTGCAGTTGAAGGGGATAATATATTGCCCTGGTCATAGGCGTCAATTAAGAGTGGCAAGAAGTGAAAACATAGAACCTGTCTGTTCAATATTATTTTGATTGTAATGATTACCCTTGCCAACACGGTTATGTTTTCTGTGCCGTTTGTTTGTTAGTGTGTTTGTTTGTCTGTCAGCAGGATTAGGATGAAAACTACTGGCCCAGTTTTTTTCATTTTCACACTTGGTGGAAGGGTGTAGCACGAGGCAAGGATTTAATTTGGAGTGAATTTAAATCACAGGGCAGACACACAAATTATTTTCCACTTTTGTTAGGATTAAGAGATCAGTTGACCCCTCCAAAGTCCCGCCCCTTTTTGCTTTGTGCTCCAATAATAGTTAAGCAAGATGCTCGGTCAACTTTCTTCTTTCTTGTACTTAGATATGCTATGTGCTAGGCTCGTCTTTAAAAAGACAACCATATACAACCTATACAATCACATTTCAAGTCAGCTAATGTTAGAAAAAAGTTTGCTAACTAGCTAACAAACGATTGATGTAAAATAGCTAGCTGCTTAGCTAGTGCTTTGCTAATCTTTTTTACGATCTTCAACATTTGGTTGTCTTTTTAACAAGTCTGTGCACTCCGAGTTTATAATATTGTTTGTAGAGAAGCTAATTTAAGCCAAAATGCTAAAGGGACAATGACTTCAGCCCTTATAGACTGTATTTTACATGCATGTCCCTGTTTGTGAAAAATCATAAACAAGATATATAAATGAATCATCGTCAGAGGGCTCAGTTATGGAGTTTCAGAGAAGCTGCGTCTGCTTCACATAATCATGGTGGTGCAGGGAGGAGAGAAGGAAAAAAGTCAATAACTAATTTCTGCCTCTACTTGTCCTGCTGTAATACAGTGGAAGCAGTTTTTCTGCTGCTTTCAGCAATCCCTTGTGTATTGCTGCATCCTTCTCTGACTCTGTCTTTATAAACAGGCACAATTATGCATTTATTATGTCCAACATAAATTCTGTTGACCACTAACTGATACAAGACAACTCTCTATTGCCAAACCCGGTTTATTTCATTTAGCTAAATTGCCTCAGGGAGATATGATCATTGTATCCTCAAATAATCATTTTTACAGGACCTAAACAGTATTATGTATCAGATAAACAAGGTCACCGTTAGTGATGCAGGCAGGAATACAAATTAGCTAAGCTATGACCTGTAATCATATAAGACCCCGAGTAATAGCTTACCACCATTATAAACAAAAATGTATCACTGTGCTTGCAGAAAAATCTTTTCTGCGTTTTTCCCTGGAGCATCCAATCCTTTTTCAGTGGGGCACTCTGCCAATTTAACACATAAAGGCCAGACTAGTCATAAGGAGTTCTGTATAATGTCTTCTTTGTGACTCTGGAGGAGTTTTATCTAGTCCAAGAAAATAATCTTGATGATGTGTTACAAAGTGGTTTCAAAGGCATGGGTGGTTACCAGGCAGGGTTAACAAAAAGATAGTATTGGTCACTATATAAGAAATGTAGGATCCAGTAGTTTTAAAGCTTGACAAAAACTAGGGACTTTAAATCAGGATATCTGATTTATACTGTTCTTTTTAATCCGTCTCTTGTGCAAGTTCAATACTATATCGTATGAGTCTCCCTTTAAATAGTACGATGCTACGTGTAAATATTGAAAGAATTGGCCAGCCAAATAAGGTGCTAAACTTGAAAGCCTTGATAGTGCGCGCTTTAAGCTACAATTTTGGTTACAGTCAAAAATACAAAATGGTGGACATAATTTTTCTAAACTTAGAGACTCTACAGTAGTGATACCAAAAAATAACTAGTTGTATCCAAAGAAAAAACTTTTGATACCTATTTCGAATGGCCATATTCAATGCTTGGGGAGAAAATGTTCTTTAAAGGTGCTCATAGTATCGTACTTGCTTCTAATGGAAATTGGCACAAGTAGTAGTTTGAAGAATGATACAAGAGAACTTTACTGAGAAATTTAAACTCACTTACTCTTTCACCCCAATTCTGCTATTGGAAAGGTGAGTAAAGAGGGATTTCAGATGTTGTTTGACAATCCAGCATACGCCTCCTGTTTTACCAGAGGATGTTTAAATTAAATTCAAAAGTGTACATCCCCTTGAGAACATCAATGTGCTCAGCAAGGTCCATGGCAAACTGAATACTGATAAGGAGACATTTTGTACAATGGAATGGTGCTAGAGAAAAGCTAATGAGTTGTTCAACATGAAAAGGGATCATTCTCTGAGAAACATCAGCGGCTCAGTAGGATCTTAGAGGAAAATAATACATTTTAATATTTTCCCTGAATGAATTGTAAGAACTTTGCTGATGTCCTGACATTTATTACCAGATATCTGCAACATTTCCGTCAGCCTCACCTGTGGGCTACTGTGTGTTTAGACCTAATCAGCAAATGTTAGCATGCTAAACTGAGAGAGTGAACATTACACCTGCTAAATGTCAGCATGCCAGCATTGTCACTGTGGGCATGTAGCATTTAGCTCAAATCTGTCTAAATACAGCCTGACAGAGCTGCTAGTATGGCTTAGTCTTATTGAAATGTATTTATAAAGTAATTACCCCACTACATCCATTTTTAAAAACCGTTTGGCCTTGAACAATCCTCTACTTAAACTTGACCAAGATAATCATCTCTCACATTGAGACCCAAATATTATACATTATGAAATAGAAGAGTGACACCGATTATGAAAGAGACATGAGTGTTTTGTCTCAGACTGCATGCAGAGCAGTGATCACTGATTGCTTTTCTTCTCTTACAGTCTGTCGATGAATGAACATTCGTCGCATTGTCTTATCTGTGATATTCTCCTCTGACTGTGCTGTCTCAACACTAATTGTGTTGAAGGCAACCAGGACGTCACCTATTGTCTGGCTGTGTAAAGAAAGATAATTAGCTACCGTGCAACATTAGTGTTTATGCATATGTCCATACCTCCGGACAGCTGAACGAGTTGGGAAAGTTGGGGCGACCTTGGGTTTCGCACTCCTTGTTTGGTATTAAATCTGTGGCCCGAGGTTGTGACAGTGAAAAAAGTATTGTCTGAATCAGGGATTGGGATGCATGGCACGCATAGTGGTTCTTACATAACCTCAGAGAGAAGGCAGAGATACACTCAGTGAGTTCATGTGTGTTTGTCTCTGTGTTGTGCTGCTGTGATAGTGGTGGACCTAGTTATACTTTTGGCCTGGATTTTCCATGATTTTTTTGCCACTTGACAACAAGAAGAAACAGGTTCTAGTTCCAGGTACCTATCTTCATAACGTAATGCTGAATTCTTCCAGGGGCTTACAAAACTAACAGCAAATATATTCTGTTTAAGGGACCTAACTGTGTCTTCAGTGGAACAACCTTCTGCCAAAGAAAAAGTTTGAATAAGAAAAGCTGATCGTTTGGTCTGTTTATCACCTAGAGTGACAGGGACTGTGTTTCTGAAAAGAGATGTTGCTTAAAGACCCCCTCCAGACATGTATTAGGACACAATATAAATAGACTGTTTGGAACAATAATGTGGGTCTGATAGTATTCTCACAAAAACAGTATAATTTCCACATTAAAATCCTAAAAAAGTCATCTCCTCCTTCTACCTCATTAAACCTTCCAGAATCTCTGAATATGCAAATGTTGTTCATTTCTAAAGTTTTCCTGCTGGACACAAGATGTCTCCTACTTCACTGTAAAGTCCATTCTCAGTGGATGTGCACTGGTGGCTTCAAGTTTCTACATCACACTGTACAAGTTGATACTGGACCAGAACTGACTTCTTGATTCCAAACTGGATTTTTGAGTGGAGGGTGACTACTAGAGACACTTGTGGTTTTTCATTAGTTTAGCAGTAAATTCCCGAACAGTGATTACAATCTCACTAATATGACGTAATGGATACAGGACATGTTTCATCATCTCCTTCCAGCCAACAAGTATGCTGACTCAGCAGTAGTCCCACAGGGCCTTTTCAGATGTGGACAAAAGTCCCCAAAGAAGTCAAATTTGGCGAGGGTCAGTGCCTTATTTCAGTGTCCAGGTGTTTCAACTCCACCTATGAATGGATGCACCATTTTGTATGTGATTCACTGTTTTGGCGATATGTCTGGCACTTTCTTAAAGGAAGGTACAGGATGCTAGTCTACAATGAAAGAGCACATCTAATGTTTTTTTTGTATAAAGTTAACCACCAGGAAGCATGGTTTACAGGTTAAAGAACCCACCCAGAAGGAGGCCTCCTACATCACACTTAGCAATGAGTCAGGACTATTTATACTGATCATCATTTTAGGCTACCTGTGACTTTATAAAAGATCTTTGGATATAAAACACATGGATAATATTTACATCTGATTTTCCTCCAGAATTCTCAGAAATATTTGGCGGGCATTTTTTTTTTACCTTTCTTAGACAGCAACAGTAAAGATGCAGACAGGAAGTGGGAGAGAGAGAGGGGTATGACAGGCAACAAAGGTTGCTGTTGAACCGGAGACAGTTGTGACCATTGTGTAACAATTTGGCTACAGGTGTCGCAGAAATTAAGTTACATGCAGATTTTTCATGCCCTACCCTAATGTCCATGTCTGTCCACAGAAGGTCTACATAAGGCAGATGAGTATGTAGTACTTCTTTTTAATGAAATTGGTCTTTTATAGGTGGGTGACCAGATCTTGGAAGTGAACGGTCAGAGTTTTGTCACCATCTCCCATGATGAGGCTGTTCACATCCTCAAAACAGGACGCCACCTGCTGATGAAGGTGAGGGATGTGGGCCGTCTGCCTCATGCTCGAACAGTGGTGGACGAGACCAAATGGATCTGCAGTCAGGCCATAGCTGAGACCAATGCTACAACTAACCCAAGTTCTGTCACTAACCCCAATGTCAATGCCGGCATCCACGCTAGTGTCAGTGCCAGTAACTGCAGTTCAAGGTGAGTGTGTTATATTGAATTATAATCACTATTTACTGAATAAAACAAATACTAGAGCTGTCAGTGGCATTGGCGCAAAGACATCATTGTAACAGTGCTTCTTTGTTTCCCCATGTGGTTAACAGACCTGGTGCAAATACTACTTTTGGTAATCACAAATTATTAAGTAGTTGGGAAACCACCTTACATTAATTTAAAACCCTGTAACTTGCACAGCTTGCACTAAGGGTGCTGTGATTGATGGGCCACTGAATGTTATTGGCTGATATTCACTCTAATTAGTCTGATTGTTGCCAGTCAGAAGAGTCAATCAGTAGATAGATTTCTTTTTGCTTCATGCATAGATTTACTTGGGCAGGCTGCCTGGTATGTTAATGGTCAGCTACTCATTTTAGCATTTTGCCGAGAAACAGAGAGAGAGACGTTATTTGGTAGATGTTTTACAAGCACAGACCAGGTTTTTGATCATCATTGACATCATTAACGAGCCTCCTCCACACATGGATCACCTTGAAAACAGAATCACAGGTAAAGAAATCCAAAACGTGAGTTGTGTTTCTTGGGCAATTTTATAAAGTGTACTGCTGACCAACAAAGTGACCAGAGCAGACACACACAGCCTGCATGATATATGGAGATATAACCAGAAAGAGGCGAGGCAGTGGGAAAGAGAAGGGAACAAGCAGGTGCACAAGAATTTTCTGAGTAAACAATAGAACACAAAAATAAGGTGGAGAATTAAGTAGAATTAAAATGGTGAAATAAGAAATAGAAATATACCCTTCACCAACAACAGGCTGTGGTTTAACTTGTGTCATTATGAACATGCCTGCCAAAAAAACCCCACACTTATTAGTTATATTATTAATGAAATAATTAATTTGAATGCTAAATATGCAATCTTGAGAATAGTAAATAATAATCGCAGATACTGCTTCTAGTGATGATGGGTGATTAGCCTCAAAAACCCTGATTGGATCACTCTTAGCTTGCACTAAATAAGAGGTGTTCAATATCAGTATCGGTAGTTTTGTGCATTGGAGCTTGGAGCTTTTTTGTGGTTTTAAAACCACAAGAAACTTCGTTATTCCATTTTGGCTGATTTATAGTTTTGTTAGACAGTACAGATATGCTATGGCTACACCATAGCTCAGGTGCGCAAGAGCTAGGATTAGTAGTTCAAGTGTTTGCAGTGTTTCAGATGCTGCCGGAGATTACTGAAAGTTCAGACAACATTAAGCAAGCTGAAGAACGTTGTCATAGTCCTTTAGGGCTTCAGATTTATGCCTCTAGCCAAGTGTCTGCCTGATGTTCAGTCAACAGAAGCTGTCTTTCAAGGTACAAGAAGGTCCGTGTGGATGTGATTAGATTGAAATGAACCAGTCATAAGAAGGCCAGTGCCTGTCTCAGTTTCTGCCCCCAACTTATCAAAAGTCAGGTCGATTTGTGCAACCAGAACTCAACTTTGAGAGCAGAGTAATTCCTGTGAGCGCTCGCTGAGCATAAAATCTCTCATGCATGGTGGCTGCTTTGTTTGGTTGCTGATTAGTTGTATACACACAGGTACCATTCTTTGCCTCTCACTTTGTTTTGTTTGTAGCTCACAGGTGCCTGTACAGCTCTCAGTTGTTAAATTTGAGCACAAGGACTTATATTGTGCAAGTTGCAGTTAATATCTGCACGTGTTAAACTCAAGGTCATAATTTCCTCATGACTTTGAGTTTTTATTTTTTATTTTTTTATTGCCTTTAATGGATGACACTCAGCCACAGTGCCACAGATAGCTCTACCAGTTGAGCTATCTGGGCCCCTTGAGCATGAGTTTTATTGTACTTGTAACATATGACATAAATCTGATGCCATTTTCATCATCATATTCATCAGAAGTGGTTACTGAGCTATCAGCCTTATGTTTGTGGTTGTAGAGACCTACCTTTGTATTAAACTGAACAAAACAGTTTGAACCAGCAAAAACTAAACTGTTACTACTGAACTGACACAGCTATAGTCTGTCACAGTGTTATAAAGAGAACAAGCAATATAGTTAGTGACTGAATCGCTAAACTGAATTATCACCTTTCAATCTTTTGTCTAAAGTGTATTGGTATAGTAAGCTCATCTGCTTGATACAGGCAGCAACTGCTAAGAATTACCTTTCATTTTAATCAGACCAGTCTGAGGGCCTTTAAAAGATTGTAGGGCATGTGTTATCACTCCATCACTCATGGTTCTCAAATTAATCAATGAATTTGGAATCAGTGGAGGGAAAACACCTGATTTGATATGTGAAAGAGTAAAGAAAATCAAAATGGATCACGTTCTTCATTAAGTTAATTTAAAACTAAAATCAGTAACCAGAGAAATGTTGCCATATGTTGGCCTTGTGAACAAAACGTTATATAATGGAGGCTCTATTACTGAGAGTGGGTCGGTTTGGGAGGTCCAGGACATGAAAACCTTTCGTTGCAGTGGAGGATTGTGTTTGACAGCTCCATTGTGTCTGACAGCGAAGCAATGTGTGGAGACTGCCCCCCCTCTCTCTCCCTCTCTCCCTCTCTCCCACATCCATCTGTCTCCCAGCCCTAATGGAGCTGGCCCTGATTGAGAATTTGGGGAGGTATACATTTCTCTTCTGCCTGCTGCTGCCTTGGAGATCATACAAGGTGGCTCTTAGCTCCACACTTCATTAAACTCACTTGCCTTGGCCCCGCCTTGGGGTGAGCTAGGCTGTGATGCTGTTGTTGTGTTTTTAATGTTCTACATGCATAAAAAGTATGCATACAAGTAGGCATACAAGTATGAGTGTTACTCTCAATTCGACTTAATAATTAGTTTCTTAAATATGCATTGTTGTCTTCTTTGTTGCAGACCATCCTCAGCCAGAGCTACACCTGTATTAGGAAAGGTAAGAATGGCAGCCATGCATTACTGGCCTTTGAATACGTATTTCCGCTCTTTAAATTGTATGTATGGTACCGACACATTCTGCACTCCAACGTACTCAATCTCCATCTGGGTGTGTCATGTTCTTTTTCTCACTCCTGAAGAGGTGGGACTAGAGTCAGACTCACGTCATTAATCTAACGACTGTGGATCTGACTCGACAAAATCAAAAAGGCCTTCAACTTGACTTTGACTTTGATAGTAATAGCTTGTGACTTTTTAACTTGATTTGATATCCTCTCCAAGACCAAAGAATGAAAACTGTTCACTCTTCATTTTCCTGATAACAGGAGGGGCCAGCAGACAGCCAACAGATGATACCTCAGATTATCACATTAACACTCAACAACGGTTTAGGTTACAAAAACTTTGCAGACAGTGGCTTTCTTTTTCATTCCATAAGTTACTTCTGAAAGCCAAAATGAAGCCAGTGTCTGTACCACCAATTGGTAAACTAATTATTGATAGAGGACAGTGTGCTCATCTGACTCTTCTATCAGAATGAGTTCATCTCCTTGTTGGATTTCATTCAGATCATATAAATAATGTAAGTGCATCAAACGGATTTATGCTTTTCTGTGTAGGAGGTTGTTTGGAGACATTTGTGGGTCTGTTTCTGTTACATGTAAAGCTTTTATAACATTTACATTTTTTAATCTCCATTTTAAAGGTGGTTTTTTTTATTTAAAAAAGTTTTTTTTTTTTTTTTTTATTATTAGAAACAAAAATTTTTTTCTTTTTATGGTTTTTTTTTTTTTTTATATTTTTTTTTTTTTTGGGGGGGGGGGTATTTAGGTTAAAATGGGTTTTTGTTTAAGAGTTTTTTTTTTTAGAGTACGAGTACTACACAAGTAAAGTGTGTCAATATCCATTCTCATAAATGTAGCAACTTCAAAACAGCTTGTTGTGGAAATAGTTCTGTAACTTTTGTGATTAAAAACATTGCTCTGATGCTCAATTCTGTAAATAGTTGTCTAATAAATATAGCAACTTCTGATCAACCCATATCAATTTCAGGCTTAAATTAACAACATCCAGTTAGCACCGTCCATTTACGTTTAACGGCACTCACATCTGGTTTAAGCCCTGTCCATTTAGAGTATGGACACGAATACAGATCAGATTTGTTGACCGGTTGCTGATACAGTTAGTGGTGTAGTAGCTCATTCCTAGTTCCAATGTATTTTATATGAACAAAATAGATTAAATACAATTTTCAGCCTAATAGCAGCACTTGATAAGTATGGTATCATTATGAGTTCTATCCCAGTGTGTTATTAATCTTAATGATTAAAATACTATGCTATATCATATTGTCACAGGCAATATTCAATACAACCCTAACCCAATATAACATAACCCTAAACCAAATTCTTTTGACATTTTTATCCTTTTTAACAAGGACATTTTCAGTGCTGTTTTCTCAGTGTCGCGCTGGCTGTGTGTGAACACAGAGACGCAGTTATGTAGTTGTTTATAAGTACCAGCATTGCTGTACTCAGGGTTTTACGAATACTGTCCAAAAACTGAACTTGCTAGGGGGGGTTGTGGCATCAAAGCATCAAATTAGTTATTTTAGACAATTATTTCACAACTTTTTTTGTCTGCCCCTTACCGATGACCTCAATGGTGGGTACAGTCATGCTCACCAGAGATGGCGGTACTGAATAAGAAGTAAGGGTACCCATATGGCCACAAATTTGAAGTGCTGGTACTCAGTACTTGTGAGTACTGGTCCATTTCATGCACTGATTCAGTACTATACAGTTATCATTTTGGGGTGTATTAGGGGATTGAGTTGATTGAAAGTCCACCGCCCTCTATGGTTATGGCATAAAGTAGATTTGAATACATTTATAATAGTAAATAGTTTTAATTTTGCTTTGCTTCAACTATTTGTTGGTGAACAACAACCCAGTGCAGTTACAGTGCTGTAAAACCACAACAAATTGTGTTTGTGTACAGATTAAGGTAGTAAGGATATTTTTAGGCAAGCTTTTAGTCTGCTAAACTAAGCCAATTGCCTTCTAGCTGTGGCTCCATTAGCAGGCAGACATGAGAGTGGTACTATGCACAGTGACTCCTGGATTGCAACAGCTCACTACAAAGGGTTCATTCATGATTTACTGTCATTCTCATTGAGATTCTGTGGACCCAAGGGACAGTTCACCCCTAAATCAAAAATACATATATTCCCTTTTACCTGTAGTGTCATTTATCCATCTACATTGTTTTAGTGCCGAGTTTTGGAGATGTCAGCAGTAGAGATGTCTGCCTTCTCTCAAATATAACGAACCAGATGGCACTCTGGTGACGTTCAAAGCAGACATCTCTACGTCTGATATCTACAAAACTCTGTAACTCACACCAAAACAGTCTACATGGATATATGACACTACAGGAAAGGCAAAATAAGTGTTTTGCGGTGACCTGTCCCTTTAACAAAGAGAAACATGCATATCGTGTGCAGTAAGTAAGTAAATAAGCTATGAAGCTACTGACCCTGCGGACGGTGGACTAATAGTTTAATAGTGTTGGTTTGACCACAGATTAATCATTGCAGGGTGTTATTGCTCCCACAGATCTTCCTGTGGAACTGCTGCCAAGCTTTGTTGTTAGCATGCTGCTGTCAGTCTGCCTATGAGCAGATATTATTTGTTGTGAATTAATTTCATGTGGTTGACTGAGCTCATTCTGCTTTGGTTGTTTGTTGTTGGGTTTATGAAATACAATGCCTTTGGTATTGGTCGGTTGTGGTACTGGGCTTGGGTCTGTTTGTTCACTGCAAACTCTCGTATCTAGTAGAGGGTAAAATTTGTATGTGGGCTTTATATTTATATTTGGTTGAAGGGAAACAAAACATGACTGTTGTTACAATCAGAATGTCATCATTCACATTCCTCCGCTGACTCAAAATACTGAGTCATGTGACAGCTTCCTGTTCTCCATACCAGTACTGTAATTAGTCCTAAAAGGCTAAGATCCTGTTTTACCCCAGTGGCTTAGCTGCTAACTGTACAGCTGCCTCACTTGCGGGCCTCACCTCAGAAACTGATGGTCAACTGCAGCTCACCAGTGCTGCGCTTGATAACAGAGTTTGTCTGCTGCAGAGCCATGGACCTTGGAATTGCAATACGCATACATCCATAAATCATCTGCTGCATAGCTTACTGTAAGTCTTAACTTACTGTTATACTGACTGACTGCTATACCCAGGTGGATTGCTGGTATAGATTGAATCATCTTGATGTATAGGATATATAGTCTAGTATATTCAAGGCTCAATGTATTATTTGGCATTATACAATACAGAATTGCCCAATAAAATGCAGTTGTAGCCCCCTCCACACTACAGAATGCAGAAAATATACAGATATTCAATAACAGATATTCAAATATTTAAATTAGTTTGAAATATAAACACTTAAACAGAGCCAATGGGCAATACAACCAATGATGTGAAAGTAGCACTAAATAAATAGGAAATAAAACGTATATATTTACAAGGAATATATACAGTTACATATTTACTATTGTTTTTTTAATTGACAATGTGTCAGATCAGTATAAATAACTGACAGGTGTGGTTAACCATTTTACCCCTCTCAAAATGAATAACAATTCCATATCTGTGGGTATTCTGTAGCATATTTTCGGGTAACATGTATTTTTATTTTTTGGTGAGACGTTTAATATTTCAGTGTTTTTCTTTTCATGTAACTTACAACTGCATTTTAGTCAGCTCATGGGTATTTTTATGTGAATGTGCAGTGAAGATATTACGTGTCTGGGCTCTGACCTTGTCACTCCTCACAGAAACCACCCGGAGTGGAAGTAATATTTTCACTCACATTACTGTAATTAAGTAATTTTTTTGAGTATTTTTTCATGCCTGTAATTTTACTCTTACTAAAAGGTCCAGTGTGTAACATTTAGGAGGATCTATTGTTAGAAATGGAATATAATAACAACAGATTGCCTTTAGTGTCTCCAGAGGTTGGCTGGAGCTGAAGACTAGAAGTTAGAAAATGAAAACAGTCTGGGGGTGTCAAGTTAGAAAGAAGCTTAGCAGACCTCTGCAGCCCGCTCCTCATCTCTAGTCGATCAGCTGGAGGACACATTAGCTGTAACGCACCCGACTCTCTGACTGTACTGTTGGCAGTTGAGTTGCATTGTGGGTAATATACAGGAGAAGAATGTGTTAAATAAAGAGAGACAGTATATGTGTATCAGCTGCATCAATTTTGATCCTTTTTAAAACTTGACCATCATGAATTAGTGCAATGCTAAATCGGCTGAGTACTCTTGAACAATGCAGCGGTTCATCTGTTGTTTTCAGTTTTGGAAATATTATCTTGTGCTCATAATCTTTCAGACTCTGTAGTCCTGCCTTGTCTCTTGACTGTCATCAGCATTTCTTCCAGCCTTGATTTATGCAGCGAGTGATGCCTGAGCACACATGCTTTCTTTCAACCTGTTTGACATTCAGCCATTAAAACAGTGGCAGCTGCCGAGCCCAGTCAGTCTTTTACACCTAACAGCTCCACTAGAATCACTCAGGGTGAAGTTCAAGCACACGCTGATTTGCTGAGGCAGGGAAAAACACTCATCTAGTCTAATTGATGGAGCTAAAAGAGGCAACCACCATGGCTGTTTGTGACAGGCTGAGCCAGCTGTCAATCAAGGACCCAAATATGTACTTTACTCTTTAATCCTCAACATCAATAAAACAACTTGAGGAAGAACAGCTGTGGTTTTGTATTCCAGTACAGAAGTTGGGAGCCAGCTACTACTATATAAAGCACATTTCATTAAAAATAAACTCAGTGTGCTTTATACATTAAAATGACAGACATATACATGCACCCACATACAGTGTCATGAGCCTGAGAGAAGTTTTCAGTTTGCTTTGGACACAATTGTGAGTGATCTCAGGCCAGTTTATTCTCCCAAACAGGACTA